GCTAACTTATCGATGCAAATTATGAAAGCCAGAAGAGCCTGAACCAAGGTATTTCCAGCTCTAAATGACCATAGATGCCAACCCAGAATACTTTACCCAGCAAAAAATGTCTATTGTAGTTGAAGGGAAAAGAAAAATCTTCCACGAAATGAATAGGCTGAAAGAATACATGTCCACAAAACCAGCCCTTCAAACAATTGAAGCAATACAAAGAATGGAGAAAGGAACCATACCCCAGGGGCAACAGAAGGAAACTTAATGAAGGTATAATTGTGGAAACACAAAATTAGACAAAGAATGCAAACAGTAATGAAAATGATGGCAACAAATACATATCTTTCAATAATAACTTTAAGTATCAATGGGCTCCCCAGTCAAATACATAGGCTAGTTGAATGGATTAAGAAACGAAATATATCCTTTTGTTGTTTGCAAGAAACTCATCTCACTTTCAAGGACAGGCACTACCTTAAGGTGAAAGTGTGGAAAAAAATATACCAAGCTAATGGTACTAAGAAAAGAGCAGGTGCTGCAATTCTAATATCTGACAAAATAGACTTTAAACTAAAACGAATCAGAAGAGATAAAGAGGGCCACTTCATTTTGTTCAAAGGAACAATAAATCAAGAAGATATTACATGAACATATATGCACCAAACTCTGGTGCACCCACCTTCATAAAAACAATGCTACAGGACTTTAGGACTCAGATTAATCCCAACTCATTAATAGCAGGGGACTTCAATACCCCAGTGTCTCCATTAGATAGGTCAACAGGGCATAGAGTTAACAGAGAGACATCTGAATTAAACAATACCATATTATCAAATGGACTTAACAGACATCTACCAAGTATTCCACCTAAGCACCAAAAGACATACTTTCTACTCAGCCTCATGGAACCTTCTCCAAAATCGACCATATAATGGGGCACAAAACAAACCTCAACAAATACAAAAAGATTGAAATAATTCCATGCATTCTATCAGACCACAATGCAATAAAGCTTACAATCAACGCTGGAAGAAGCCCTAATCACCACATGAACACATGGAGATTAAACAACACACTCCTGAATGATGAATGGGTCA